GGGGTTCCTTTCATGAAAAGGAAAACAGGATGAGAATCAACGAGTTGCTGCAATCGCTTCTTAAGAGAACCACTAAGCCCTGGTTCAACTAGATTTTTCTCCTTTGATGCATCTACTTGAGCTAAATCTTTCACGGCTTCAAGAACGGCAGATCCAGCAGCCATCCCGAGACTGGCAGGAGAAGCAGCCTCTCCAGGGTTAATTGAGCCTGCAAGTTTGGCAACCTTATTGGCTAAGCTTGACGGATCAGCTCCCTCCAATGTATCAAAGGTCTTGCCATCCTGACAAAAAAGAACTTCCAAGCAACTATTAAAATCAAGCAAAGAAGGTAAGAATGATTTCAAATCCCAAATAACAGATTGAGTATTAAAATTGAAATAAAACAAAGGAATTCGTTACATTTGTCCACACGGTGACATATTCAAACTGGATCATAACAATAAACCTAAAAATAACTATATACAACACAGATCTCTAACAAGTTATAAATTAAATTTCAGTTTAGCATTTAAATGCAATTATCTAAACTGTACACAGAGTTTCGTTAAGATATATTAGTTAACCAGAAAGTAAACTTCCTCATGTCAGAGTATCCATAATCTGGTTATTAAAATCACAAAACAATTAGCTCAAGGAAAAACTTATTTCATCTTTCCCTACGACATCAAACTTCACCCTTTACATACTAAATGCACCTTACCACAAAAAAACAGCATGATTACCAATCAAATCAAATAGCATAATTTCCACAAAGCCAAGTTTTCATTTAATCGAGAATCAATACCAACTAAGCCCCAATAATTTATTGGGAAGGCAGACACTAGATAGCAACACCAATAACATCACAAATAACAATTAAAACAAAACAATCCAACAAAAAGTAGTCCTAAACTACGAACACACTTTCCCTAGTGAAAGAAGACATGATAACTGGTAACATTACCTTACAAAAGACAAAGAAAGGAACGGCAGAGACGGAGTACGCCTCGGATATCTCAGGTTGCTCTTCGGCTTCAACCTGTAAAACAAGGTATAGATGTTAAGAAAGCGAAGCCAAAGTGGAAAAGAAGAGAAATTGAGAATGAAAGGTAACCCTTAAGAAATGGGCTTTGGGGAAATCAGTGGCCAAGTGAGTGAAGAGTTGATCCATGTGCTTAGAAGCTTCGCACCACGACGCCCAAAAGTGGAGGACAACCGGAGAGCCACCACCCACCACCGCATCAACCTCCGCCTTGGACTTCACGTCCTTCACCGATCCACCCATTCTGATTCGATCACGCAAACCCTACAAACCCTAATCGTAGCCCTGTTTCCAGATCAACACTGCAGTGTTCTGCGTGTGAAAATGAAAAATTACTAAATAAGATAAACTACCTTACCTTTTCTGGATTCTCGGACACGTGACTGTGTGGTAGTGACGCGTCTCAAAAAGTAATGGAATTCTGAATTCCAGACAGCCCAGTCCCTCAGGCCCAAAAAACTTTTGTCTTGGCCAGGTATGTTCCCATAACAAAAATTTTAATTAGTAGTTAATTTTTATATTTATTTAATTCCTATATTTAGATAGTTTTTATACTTTAATCAGTAATTTGATTTTATATTTAATTTTCTAATTTAATTTTACTTTTATATTTATATACTAAGTGTTTATATTTTCAAATAAAGTTATTATGATATTCTTTATTAAATCAACATTAACTATATTACAAGGTAGTGACAGGTGAGTTTAGGTCACTTTTTACCTGTCTAATCCTTTTCTTCTTGTTACATAATCTTATTATCCACTTTCTTCCTTTCCACTGATAGCTAGCTCATAAAATTCTACGTTGAAGAACGTGGAAACGCTGAAGCACTTTAAATATCTATTTAATGAGGTTTAGGAATTTCATTTTATACATAATGGAATTAATTTAAACAGGACAAAAATAAATTATAAATCAAAATACAAAAACTAAATTATTAAATTTAATATACAAAATTAAAATTATTTTCTCTCACTACATATTACCATTGCCTTCTCCGATTAAAAAGGAAAAGAACATTGTAGAAGTAAACCATTGGTTCAAATAGTTTGTTTCCAATAATTTATTTTGGCTTAATACTTTTTTTTCTATTTTCATCACTGTTTAAAGTGATCTTTGACTTTTTCGAGTATTTAAAATTATTTTAGTTTTTATAAGTTTTGTTTAATTTGGTATTTCTCCCTAATGGCGTCTAAATCTTAATGACAAAGTGTCTACGTGAGTCATTAGTGAATGAGGTGTTAGATTGTTGTTTGTCTTGCCGAATTGGTTACGTGGTCATCCAACACTGCTTCATTCCTCCACCATTGTAAATGCAATCACCATTAGAATCACCATTATAATTTATTTTTACTTTTATATTTATATACTAAGTATTTATATTTTTAGATAAAGTTATTATGATATTCTTTATTAAATCAATATTAACTATATTATAAGGTAGTAACATGTGAGTTTAAGACATCTTTTACCTCTCTAATCCTTTTTCTTGTGGTTACATAATCCCATCATCCACTCTCTTCCTCTCCACCAATCTTTAGGTCAAAAAATTCTAGAAGAACTTGGTAACGCTTAAGCACTTTGAATACATGTCTTTATGAGGTATAGGAATTTCACTCTATATATAATGGAATTAATTTGAACAGGACAAAAATAAATTATAAATTTAAATATAAAAACTAAATTATTAAATTTAATATAAAAATAATTAAAAATAATTTCTCTCACTGCATCATGTTACCATTGTCTATCACTGATTACAAAGAGAGTGAACATTGTAGAAGTAAATAATTGTTTTAAAAAGTTTGTTTTCAATAATTTATTTTGGCTTAATACTTTTTTTATTTATATTTTTGTTAGTTTTATTTAAAATGACTTTTGACTTTTTGTGTGTGTTTAAAATGGTCTCAAATTTTATAATTTTTGTTTAATTAGATTTTTCTCTTTAATTATGTTTAAACCCTTAACGACATAGTATTTTTGTAAGTAATTAGTGAATGAGATGTTAGATTCTTTACATGATCATTCTTCATATTTAGTTACATGATCATGCAACGCTACTTTGTTCCTCCACCATTGTAAATGTAAGTACCATTAGAGCCAACATCGGAGCCCTTCATTCCTCCACCACTATGACGCATCAGATTCCACCACCATAATGAATGCAGCACCAGCCAGGAGGAATTCACAAACCACCTCATACATTAAACGTAAAATATGAATCCATATTGTCAAAATCTCTAATCGCAAATCACACCTGATACATATCCAAAATCACTCAAAAAATTAAGGTTTATGTGATGCTGGTGTCGTTGTTTGTGTTTGCGATTTCTAAGTTTTTGTTTTGATTTTGGTGACATGATTTAGGATTTTCATTGTATGATTTAAGGTTTGTTGGTTCATTCCTCGTTCTCATGGTGGCTACGCTGTAGACTTGCAGTTTCGTGGCCTCATTGCAAATCCATGGTGTGCATTGATGGCAGTCGTGGTTCATGGTGGCTCGCGATTTAGGGTTTTCATGGAGGAATAGTGGTTTAATGGATTTTGTTGATGCATCGCTATGAATAAATATGATGCTTGAAAGCATGAAAAATATAGAGATCTGTAGTGGTTGTCATAGTGAATGGATAATTGTCGACGTCAATGAGTATTGTGGTGGTGCGACCAATAGTGAAGGAGGTCATGGTGGTTGTTTAGGATTTTTTGGTGTGTTGGATAAAAGATGAGATGATATGACAACCATATCATAAAAAAATGGAATAGGTCATTCAATCTTTTCTCGTGTGGATATGATGTCGTTAACGATTTAGATGTCATTAAAAAAAAGACCAAATTGAACAAATATTACAAAATTTTGGATCATTATATAAAAGTCGATGATCACTTTAAACAAAATTAAGGAAAATAGAAACCAAAGGAGATATTTAATCATTTATTTTAAAAAGCATTCGTTTTGAAAATCACTCTCCAAAATTCTTATTCCTTTATTTTGAGAAATCATAGTCTAAAAATTTGGAAAGATTTATTTCAAAAATTTTATAGAAAATGTAAAAATAATCTTATAAAATGATGAAAAAAATAATTAAATATGTTTTTATTTTTAAACTTTATTATCAAATTACACTAAATTAGAATTTATATCTAAAAAAACTTTAATACAATTTCATTCTTATGTTTTAGAATTTAATATATATAACTTTTTTAATGAAAAGAGAATTAGAAAAATCATATGAATTTTGTGACATGGCATTTATAAATTGCGTCAACGTAAATTTAATAAAATAAGACAAATTAATTTTACTTAACAAATATTAAAATTCAATTGAATAAAAATAAAATATAAAAATCATATTCTTAAACATACATAAGCCAAATTACTATTTATTAAGGTCTCCTGATTATTTTTACTACATTTCAGTTTATTTTAGTAAAAGATCATTTTCTATGCAACAAACAACTTGGATAGAGCAGCTCTTGAAAACATTAGAAAATGAAACAATAAATTAGCGTAAGATAATTTATTTATCCCACAATTTAACACAAAAGTGTTTGGAATCTTATGATTTGGTGGAAATCAACACAAAAGTACATAATTAAGAAAATTTAACATCATCAGATCAAAAAATAAAAACAAAGATGGCCAATTTGTGTGTCCTGCATGAATCTCAATTTGAATTTATCCCACAATGATCCCCAAGAAAAATTAATAGGAATTTAGCGCCTAATTTCATTTCAAGTAAGTTTCACACAAATTTAACGGTTCAATTTTGAAAATAAAAAATAAAAAGATCTCGAGACAGTATCACTTGATAAGGCTAAAATGTAATTACCACTTCATCCTATGTGACCTCTATTTTAAAGAGAAAAAAGTAGTTAAAAGTTTTGTAATATAAAACATTTTATTAATTAGGGCAAAAATAGATGATAGGGAAATTCCACATGATTAGCTGAAATGGTATACGACGCCGTTGAGTGTCTACGTTATCTAGGAATAGCACAGATGTTATAGGAAGGTGGAAACGTGGAACTCAATCCAGAAGAAAACCAAAGGGCAGTGAGTGAGTCACCGATGCAACTCAGCAGCAACGTGTTGGTTCCTTTGATTAAACCCCCAAAATCCTACTTCAGTTTCAAACTCCGGTCCTGCTCCAATCCCAACTCTAACTCGCCCGAGTCCAACTCACTCCAAGCCGACACCCTCAAGACGCTGGAATGGAGCTCCGTGTGCAAGCAGCTTTCGCCGTTCACCTCCACCTCCATGGGCTCCGCCGCCGCCCTCAACGGGCGCTTGCCCGTCGGACGCACCCCCCGCCAGAGCCAGAAGCTTCTCGATCAGACCTCCGCGGCCAGACTCCTCGCCCGGCCGCTCGACTTCTCCGGCATCCACGACTTGACGGAGATTCTCCGCGTCGCCACTTCTGGTCAATTGCTAACCATCCGAGAGCTTTGCACCGTCCGCCGCACGCTCGTCGCTGCCAGGGAATTATTCGATAGTTTGAAACGCTTCTCTTCCGATTCTAATCATCCACAAAGGTATACGTGAAACTTTGTTTTTTTGGCTTGATTGCATTTCCAAGTGCCTCGGGTGTCGCGATTGTGCAATTTACCGTCTCTCATCATGTTGGAAGAGTTGCGAAATTGGGTTTATCAGGTTTTCTTATATTTACTCTAAGGTTCCTTGGTCCTAGTTCATCCGTTGTTTAAGTCGTTGATTTACTCCAAAAAAAGTGATAATGAAATTTTTTTTGTCGTCTATTGTTGTCCTAAAAACATCAATTTACTTCAAACCCTGTCAACATGACAATTAAGTTAATATAGGCCCTATTTTTGTGAAATGAAAATAAAAAGGTAAAAAATATTGAATTTATCATCTAAGTAATGAATTTATGCGCTGGAGAAGTTAGAGGAGAAAACTTGAAGAGTTAAGGACAGAAGTTGGTTTTAGCTTATGAGAGAAACTCATTTCATTCTACCTTCTGGTTTTTCTATCCTGTGAGCGTAGAGAAGTTTATTTCAGGGCTTCAGTCAAATACCATCTGTGTTATCTATTTCAAATATTCCATATTTTGTAGTTAGTATAGTACTCTATTTACTCTCCCATGTCATGTCTAGTCATGCTATCTAATTGTGTTAATTATTTGATGGAACGGGTACGGACTGACCGGATTGTATATCAGAGAAAACTCTTGGGGAATCCAATTTATGCAATTGGAATTTGAATGACCAAAATTGCACAGTCACGATACCTAGGGAACTAATAATGCAATGAAGCCTTTTTCTCTTACTTTGCTTTTCTGTTATTTTTACTGGAATTGTTTGGTTTAAACTACAAGAAACATACACCGAATTGGAGCCAAAATGTTGGTAATTTAACCGTATAACGAGTTAGCACATAATTAAAAAATGAATTAATTGTAATAGTTAGACTTCTATGATTATTTAGCGATTTGTGATTAGACGACAATGTGGAGAAGTTTTGTGTAAAAAGTAAAACAAAATTGTAATATGTCAATCATAACTTGAATTGGAATTCTAGAAGATGACTCTCATCCTGTGGTATCTATTTTTGGGCCAGTCAAAGGGATGGTAGGAAGTTGTAAAAAATTGAATTTCCCAGCATTCAAGGATATTTTTTTAGTCTGATTCAGTTTACAAGCAACTTCTTTTATGCATTTTGGCTAGGTGTTGTATTTTTCTTGACAAAGTTTGGAGCATAGATCATATGGTAATGGATTCACATGTCTCAATAAGGCCTTAAAAGAAAGTTTATCTCAAAAGGTAATGACAGACATTCAAAGTGTAATACTCTAATTGCACTCGTTCTTTTTTGGCATAATTTCTACCTTCCACAAAATCCAAGATAATCATCAGAACTGTTAACTTTATCGATGCCATTGTTTCCCATCAGGTACTTACCCCTACTGGAAATACTGCAAAATTGTAATTTCCAAGTGGATTTGGAGAGTAAAATAGAATTTTGCATAGATTGCAATCTTTCCACAATTCTTGATAGAGCAAGTGAAGACCTGGAGATTATCAGATCAGAAAGAAAGAGGAACATAGAAATTTTGGATTCTATGTTGAAGGAAGTATCCTCCCAAATTTTTCAGGCTGGGGGAATTGACAAACCATTAATAACTAAGCGTCGATCAAGAATGTGTGTGGGCATCAGGGCATCCCATAGATATTTGCTTCCAGGTGGTGTAGTTCTCAATGTCAGCAGCTCTGGAGCAACTTACTTTATGGAACCCAAAGATGCAATAGATCTGAACAACTTGGAAGTTAGACTTTCAAGCTCCGAGAAGGCTGAGGAAAGTGCAATTTTAAGTATGCTTTCATCTGAAATAGCAAATTCAGAATCAGTTATAAATAATTTATTGGATAAAATTCTTGAGATTGATCTTGCTTTTGCAAGAGCTGCATATGCTCAATGGATGAATGGGGTATGTCCCATTTTCAAACTTGATAGTTTTGAAGGTTGTGATTCCAATGATGAAGACAATGATATTCTGGACCAGCAAGAGGATGACAGCTTAAATGTAAACATTGTTGGTATACGACATCCATTACTCTTAGAGTCCTCTCTTGATATCATTTCAGATAATCTTGCTCTACGATCTGGAAATGCTGCTAAGTTTGGTGATGGAAACGGAGCAATGGCTACTACATATACGTCACATAGCATATCTGACTTCCCTGTGCCAGTTGACTTTAAAATTGGACGTGGAACTAGAGTGGTTGTAATCTCAGGCCCTAACACTGGAGGGAAAACTGCTTCCATGAAAACATTGGGCCTGGCATCACTCATGTCAAAAGCTGGAATGCATCTGCCTGCCAAGAACAATCCAAAACTTCCTTGGTTTGACCTTATCCTTGCCGATATTGGAGATCACCAGGTAATATCTTAACTTTATTATGGAAAATAAAAATAGAAGACTTTTTGTTGATCATGCATTTGTTTCATATGTTGTCTGATCTTTATCTTTTCCTCCAAATTGAAGTCCCTTGAACAAAATCTCTCAACTTTTAGTGGGCATATATCACGTATTTGTAAGATTTTGGAAGTGGCCACGACACAGTCACTTGTTCTCATTGATGAAATCGGTGGTGGGACTGATCCTTCAGAAGGGGTTGCACTTTCTGCCAGTATCTTACAATATTTGAAGGATCGTGTAAACTTGGCTGTTGTAACCACTCATTATGCTGATTTAAGTAGTCTCAAAGAAGAGGATACCTGTTTTGACAATGCAGCAATGGAATTTTCACTTGAAACATTACAACCAACTTATAGAATTCTCTGGGGGTGTACTGGTGATTCGAATGCATTAAGCATAGCACAATCTATTGGCTTTGATAGAAATATAATTGATAGGGCACAAAATTGGGTAGAGAAGTTTAAACCAGAACAGCAGCAAGAGCGTAGAGGATTGCTTTATCAGTCTTTNTTAAACTTTATTATCAAATTACACTAAATTAGAATTTATATCTAAAAAAACTTTAATACAATTTCATTCTTATGTTTTAGAATTTAATATATATAACTTTTTTAATGAAAAAAGAATTAGAAAAATCATATGAATTTTGTGACATGGCATTTATAAATTGCGTCAACGTAAATTTAATAAAATAAGACAAATTAATTTTACTTAACAAATATTAAAATTCAATTGAATAAAAATAAAATATAAAAATCATATTCTTAAACATACATAAGCCAAATTACTATTTATTAAGGTCTCCTGATTATTTTTACTACATTTCAGTTTATTTTAGTAAAAGATCATTTTCTATGCAACAAACAACTTGGATAGAGCAGCTCTTGAAAACATTAGAAAATGAAACAATAAATTAGCGTAAGATAATTTATTTATCCCACAATTTAACACAAAAGTGTTTGGAATCTTATGATTTGGTGGAAATCAACACAAAAGTACATAATTAAGAAAATTTAACATCATCAGATCAAAAAATAAAAACAAAGATGGCCAATTTGTGTGTCCTGCATGAATCTCAATTTGAATTTATCCCACAATGATCCCCAAGAAAAATTAATAGGAATTTAGCGCCTAATTTCATTTCAAGTAAGTTTCACACAAATTTAACGGTTCAATTTTGAAAATAAAAAATAAAAAGATCTCAAGACAGTATCACTTGATAAGGCAAAAATGTAATTACCACTTCATCCTATGTGACCTCTATTTTAAAGAGAAAAAAGTAGTTAAAAGTTTTGTAATATAAAACATTTTATTAATTAGGGCAAAAATAGATGATAGGGAAATTCCACATGATTAGCTGAAATGATATACGACGCCGTTGAGTGTCTACGTTATCTAGGAATAGCACAGATGTTATAGGAAGGTGGAAACGTGGAACTCAATCCAGAAGAAAACCAAAGGGCAGTGAGTGAGTCACCGATGCAACTCAGCAGCAACGTGTTGGTTCCTTTGATTAAACCCCCAAAATCCTACTTCAGTTTCAAACTCCGGTCCTGCTCCAATCCCAACTCTAACTCGCCCGAGTCCAACTCACTCCAAGCCGACACCCTCAAGACGCTGGAATGGAGCTCCGTGTGCAAGCAGCTTTCGCCGTTCACCTCCACCTCCATGGGCTCCGCCGCCGCCCTCAACGAGCGCTTGCCAGTCGGACGCACCCCCCGCCAGAGCCAGAAGCTTCTCGATCAGACCTCCGCGGCCAGACTCCTCGCCCGGCCGCTCGACTTCTCCGGCATCCACGACTTGACGGAGATTCTCCGCGTCGCCACTTCTGGTCAATTGCTAACCATCCGAGAGCTTTGCACCGTCCGCCGCACGCTCGTCGCTGCCAGGGAATTATTCGATAGTTTGAAACGCTTCTCTTCCGATTCTAATCATCCACAAAGGTATACGTGAAACTTTGTTTTTTTGGCTTGATTGCATTTCCAAGTGCCTCGGGTGTCGCGATTGTGCAATTTACCGTCTCTCATCATGTTGGAAGAGTTGCGAAATTGGGTTTATCAGGTTTTCTTATATTTACTCTAAGGTTCCTTGGTCCTAGTTCATCCGTTGTTTAAGTCGTTGATTTACTCCAAAAAAAGTGATAATGAAATTTTTTTTGTCGTCTATTGTTGTCCTAAAAACATCAATTTACTTCAAACCCTGTCAACATGACAATTAAGTTAATATAGGCCCTATTTTTGTGAAATGAAAATAAAAAGGTAAAAAATATTGAATTTATCATCTAAGTAATGAATTTAAGCGCTGGAGAAGTTAGAGGAGAAAACTTGAAGAGTTAAGGACAGAAGTTGGTTTTAGCTTATGAGAGAAACTCATTTCATTCTACCTTCTGGTTTTTCTATCCTGTGAGCGTAGAGAAGTTTATTTCAGGGCTTCAGTCAAATACCATCTGTGTTATCTATTTCAAATATTCCATATTTTGTAGTTAGTATAGTACTCTATTTACTCTCCCATGTCATGTCTAGTCATGCTATCTAATTGTGTTAATTATTTGATGGAACGGGTACGGACTGACCGGATTGTATATCAGAGAAAACTCTTGGGGAATCCAATTTATGCAATTGGAATTTGAATGACCAAAATTGCACAGTCACGATACCTAGGGAACTAATAATGCAATGAAGCCTTTTTCTCTTACTTTGCTTTTCTGTTATTTTTACTGGAATTGTTTGGTTTAAACTACAAGAAACATACACCGAATTGGAGCCAAAATGTTGGTAATTTAACCGTATAACGAGTTAGCACATAATTAAAAAATGAATTAATTGTAATAGTTAGACTTCTATGATTATTTAGCGATTTGTGATTAGACGACAATGTGGAGAAGTTTTGTGTAAAAAGTAAAACAAAATTGTAATATGTCAATCATAACTTGAATTGGAATTCTAGAAGATGACTCTCATCCTGTGGTATCTATTTTTGGGCCAGTCAAAGGGATGGTAGGAAGTTGTAAAAAATTGAATTTCCCAGCATTCAAGGATATTTTTTTAGTCTGATTCAGTTTACAAGCAACTTCTTTTATGCATTTTGGCTAGGTGTTGTATTTTTCTTGACAAAGTTTGGAGCATAGATCATATGGTAATGGATTCACATGTCTCAATAAGGCCTTAAAAGAAAGTTTATCTCAAAAGGTAATGACAGACATTCAAAGTGTAATACTCTAATTGCACTCGTTCTTTTTTGGCATAATTTCTACCTTCCACAAAATCCAAGATAATCATCAGAACTGTTAACTTTATCGATGCCATTGTTTCCCATCAGGTACTTACCCCTACTGGAAATACTGCAAAATTGTAATTTCCAAGTGGATTTGGAGAGTAAAATAGAATTTTGCATAGATTGCAATCTTTCCACAATTCTTGATAGAGCAAGTGAAGACCTGGAGATTATCAGATCAGAAAGAAAGAGGAACATAGAAATTTTGGATTCTATGTTGAAGGAAGTATCCTCCCAAATTTTTCAGGCTGGGGGAATTGACAAACCATTAATAACTAAGCGTCGATCAAGAATGTGTGTGGGCATCAGGGCATCCCATAGATATTTGCTTCCAGGTGGTGTAGTTCTCAATGTCAGCAGCTCTGGAGCAACTTACTTTATGGAACCCAAAGATGCAATAGATCTGAACAACTTGGAAGTTAGACTTTCAAGCTCCGAGAAGGCTGAGGAAAGTGCAATTTTAAGTATGCTTTCATCTGAAATAGCAAATTCAGAATCAGTTATAAATAATTTATTGGATAAAATTCTTGAGATTGATCTTGCTTTTGCAAGAGCTGCATATGCTCAATGGATGAATGGGGTATGTCCCATTTTCAAACTTGATAGTTTTGAAGGTTGTGATTCCAATGATGAAGACAATGATATTCTGGACCAGCAAGAGGATGACAGCTTAAATGTAAACATTGTTGGTATACGACATCCATTACTCTTAGAGTCCTCTCTTGATATCATTTCAGATAATCTTGCTCTACGATCTGGAAATGCTGCTAAGTTTGGTGATGGAAACGGAGCAATGGCTACTACATATACGTCACATAGCATATCTGACTTCCCTGTGCCAGTTGACTTTAAAATTGGACGTGGAACTAGAGTGGTTGTAATCTCAGGCCCTAACACTGGAGGGAAAACTGCTTCCATGAAAACATTGGGCCTGGCATCACTCATGTCAAAAGCTGGAATGCATCTGCCTGCCAAGAACAATCCAAAACTTCCTTGGTTTGACCTTATCCTTGCCGATATTGGAGATCACCAGGTAATATCTTAACTTTATTATGGAAAATAAAAATAGAAGACTTTTTGTTGATCATGCATTTGTTTCATATGTTGTCTGATCTTTATCTTTTCCTCCAAATTGAAGTCCCTTGAACAAAATCTCTCAACTTTTAGTGGGCATATATCACGTATTTGTAAGATTTTGGAAGTGGCCACGACACAGTCACTTGTTCTCATTGATGAAATCGGTGGTGGGACTGATCCTTCAGAAGGGGTTGCACTTTCTGCCAGTATCTTACAATATTTGAAGGATCGTGTAAACTTGGCTGTTGTAACCACTCATTATGCTGATTTAAGTAGTCTCAAAGAAGAGGATACCTGTTTTGACAATGCAGCAATGGAATTTTCACTTGAAACATTACAACCAACTTATAGAATTCTCTGGGGGTGTACTGGTGATTCGAATGCATTAAGCATAGCACAATCTATTGGCTTTGATAGAAATATAATTGATAGGGCACAAAATTGGGTAGAGAAGTTTAAACCAGAACAGCAGCAAGAGCGTAGAGGATTGCTTTATCAGTCTTTACAGGAGGAAAGAAATCGATTAAAGGCCCAGGCTGGAAAGGCTGCATCCATTCATGCTGAAATTATGAGCGTGTACAATGAGGTACAATCGATGTTTTACTGGGAAGAGATTTGGTGCTTCTTGATTATAATTTGTTTTCCTTGGTTGACATAGCATTAAAATCAATAGTGTTCCTTCTCAAATTTATCTGAAATTTGCATCCTTGATAAGTTAGTATGCAATAAATTGACCTGAAAATGAAAGGGTGATGGAGATGTTATACAAAATATGTGGTGACTTGTGAGTACTACCCTTTAGAAGATATGACCAACCCTTGGGGGATGATCTTACTAACGTTAATTTCAATATTTTTGAGGGAGTTACTTATGGAATATGGCTTTCTGGTTGACTATGAGCACCGATTTTAATATAAAATAAGTGCGTAAGTTCTTCCTTCAAAAATGTTCATATTGCAGTTAATGCTGGAAGTTATTTTTTTCAGCAAAAGAATGCCTGAGCATTTGCAGCGGGCTTTAATTGAATACCATTGTGTTTGTAATTGCTTTTTTTTTTCTTTCTTATCCTCTTTTTTTATTACCTCATTTTTCTTCATTAAATGTTGCAAAGATCCAAGGGGAGGCAGAAGACCTCGATAGACGTGAAATGGAACTTATGGCAAAGGAAACCCAACAGGTCCAACTAGAGCTTGTGAATGCAAAATCTCAGATAGAAACTTAGATACAGAAATTTGAGAAGCAGCTCAAAAGTTCTGGTCGTGATAAACTCAATTCACTTATTAAAGAAACTGAATCTGCCATTGCTTCCATTGTAAAAGCTCACACTCCTGCTGATCATTTCAATGAAGCTGATCAAACATCATATACTCCACAAATTGGGGAGCAAGTCCATGTCAAGGGATTGGGGGGTAAATTGGCCACAGTGGTAGAATCACTTGGGGATGTTGAAACAATCCTGGTACAGTATGGTAAAGTGAAAGCCCGTGTAAAGAAAAGTAATATCGTAGCTCTTCCATCTAATGCAAAGAATGCTGTAACTAGTTCTTCCGTACACCAGGGGAGACAGGTACGTATGAAAAGTTTGTCTTAACTGCCATGGTTTATGAAAAATAAAACTCTAGGTCATATATATTCTTGTTAAATAGGCTTCTTTGTTTTTTTTTAATTCACATCTTTCCATGACTTGGATTTTTTGTACATTCTGCTGAATTAAGTAATTTCTCACCCAGAAATTGTTTATATAAGATTACTAAGGCATTCTTTGTTTAAAAGAATGCAATAGAGTTTATATTTGCATTTTTCTATTTATAATGCCATTGTATAACTTCTTTGTACGGTAATACTTTGATAAAATTATTTATGGTGACAATGTCACGGCTTCACATTGCTGAAAAAGATTGGGGAAGTTATAACATTGGTCAGGAATCAAAATGCTAAGTTATAACATTTTGATTTTAATATTGTAGAGTCGACGGAATGCAGAATACCGGGTTAATGTAGACATCAAAAGCGACGATGATATTTCCTATGGTCCAGTGGTGCGAACATCTAAGAATACAGTTGATCTAAGAGGTATGAGAGTAGAAGAATCTTCTATACACCTTGAGATGGCAATTGATGCCAGTCGGCCATATTCGGTTCTCTTTGTCATACATGGGACCGGAACTGGTGCTGTTAAGGAGCGTGCACTTGAGATTCTGCAAAATCACCCACGTATCACTAATCATGAGCCAGAAAGTCCAATGAATTATGGTTGTACCATTGCTTACGTCAAGTGATACCTGTTGGTCCTGCTGCAATAAACTATGTCAGGTTGAATCATCATTTTTTGAAGTTATCATACTCCCTACTAACCTCATCAAAAAAATGACTATTTTCGTATGTACATAAAAACACATTGGTGTAAAGTACTAAGAGTTTGTAAAATCTGCACTTCTAATTTATTCATCTTTACACTAATGCTGTGTTCCTTTGCGCTGATATTTACTGTTGTGAGCGATTGTCAGCTGTGGATATGCGAGTGAGCTTCGTGTTCCTATCCAAATGTGTTTTTGCCATGATATGCCATCTTGCTTGAGGGAGATGATTTGTGGGTGAGAAATGCATTTTTATAATAACGACCCTGGTTAAATATCACGTGCATTTGCTATTTTCACGTGCCAGGGGAGGGTTGTGCAGCTCAATGGTGGCCAACCCATGCGACGGAGGTGACAGACAAGAGACGTTTTGGGGGCTGCACCTGTGTGGAGTTGGAATGTTGTAGAATCGATTCTGCTCAGCATGGAATCGATTCTAGTGTTTTAAAATGCTTCGGTTGTGTTGCAGGAACTATGTCACAAGAGACCTTTCTTTTTCTCTGCCCCCTTCAAATATACCATTTTGTTAGATGTGTTTCCATACGTGTACACAATATCAATGCAGATAATCTTGAGAATACAACTTTTTAATTAGTTTCAAGTAAAGATAAAGTTACAAAAACTTATCATGACCCTGTTATTGGGGTGTCTTCGACACGCCGGCTTCTTAGAAGCTCCGGAGTTGACACGGTGGCACGTGTTTTGTACAAAAAAAATATCACAGAATCTATTTTAATAAAAAAGAAAATAAAAATAAGTATAAAAATGAATTAAATTTTACCTAACGATCTTCACATAATAAAAATAGAAAATAAACATGAGTATAAAAGCGAATTAAATTTTACCTACACGATCTTTGCATAATAAAAGAAAAAATAAAAATAAGTCAAAAAAATGAATTAAATCTTACATGAACAATCTTTGCATATTTCCTAGTGTATCTCGGTTTAGAAAATAAAGAGGTAAATATTTTGTATAAATTTTCAAGAATAACAGAGAAAAGATACAAAAGGGAGGAAGAACAACGTGTGTTGATTGGTAGTGTTAAGTGAAAAAAGAGGAAGAATAGAGTGTGTTAATTGAAGTTTGCTGGTAGTCTTGAGGGAGGAAAGAGAGGGCATGCAGTATTGTAAATGTTTTCCATCAATGAAATTCATCGTTAAATTTTGTTTTACCAAAAAAGAAAAATTGTCCATAAAATTTTATTAGAAATTTAATATTTTTCTTATTGTGAAATTTTTAGATTAGAATAAGGCATATATATGATTGAGACGAAATACTTGAGAAAGGAATTGGCCATTGAAAGACAATTTCAATAGTAACAGACATAAGCAAAATTATGGTGTTATGGATATTATTGTTGACAGATGACTGCACGTATGAGGTTATAAACAAGTTTATTCGTAATGAAGAATGTAAAGAAAATTTATATAATGTGCATAAAATTGAAGGATTACTTACCAAAATGGTCACAACATAATTTTTCAAGTAAAAGACTCTACACCTTGGCGACTATCATAAATTTCATTTATGAAACCTTTGATTCAATTTTTATTCAATATTATATAACATGCATGAAGTGGTCAAAATATTATATATGAATCTTTATGAGATGTGTTATTTATTTAATAAAAAAATGCGTGAGACATTAGCTAAACATTTGATAAAAAAAATCGATGTTTATTTATTTAATTTCAAAGCTTACATTGTAATATTTATTATTTAATTTGCAACTATCGTAACAGTTGTATTTTATATAAATTTAAATATCAAAGTACAGTGATTTATAATTTATTTTTGTATTATTACTATATATGACTTTGCATAGTCTTTTAATTGTGTGAATAAGGTGCATCCTTGAACAAAGATGGCTCCCTCAAGTCAATATTAATATAACAAGGCATATTGAAATAGCAAACTATGCATTCTCTCTCCATAAATAGCCTAAATCTAATATTCTTTCAAATCTTAAACTCACCTCTAATTTTCATTTCTATTTTTATTCATCTTAATTAATTCCCATTTTCCTTTCCTTATAATCATATTTACTATTTATTTATTTTTCATTCACTCCTTTTTCGTTTTTAAAATTAATTTCAGGTGGATAATCAACTTGCCGTCAAAGTTCTCACAATGCGCTGCGCCGCCGTCTCCAGCGTCAGCACCGTTGAGGAAACCGTCAAGAGCGTCATCGGTCCCGTATACGAAAAGTTCCACCTGGTTCCCGACGAGCTCCTCCGCATTGCGGACCGCTCCGTCTACCCCGTACAGCATCCTCAGGCGCCTGCACGGAGCACGGCCTCCGACATTGCCGCAGCCGTCTACTCCAAGTGCAAACCGGCGGCGAAGGAGGCGTACGATAGGTTTGGTGCCAAGGTGGAGCACTGCGCGGAGACGACAAGGCAGCGGCTGTTCCCTCCGGCGCCGAAGACGTCGTGGTGGATGGAGAAGTACAACGAAAAAGTTGTGACGGCGGCGAAGAAGAGTTGTAGGGTTCCGGCATTGGTTCCACCGGAGAGGATAGCGAGGATGCTTGAAAAACGAGTACCTCAAAATCCCTTCCATAGTTAATATTATTGCACAATAGGTTTTATTGGTTTTGAATTTTAACAGTTTTGCTATATTTTTATTTTGAAAAGACATTTACAAAGTTTAATATAAGATACGACAAGAGCCTCTTTCAACCATAGGAGAGTTTTGCTTTTGATAGATAAAATCATCACCTTGTTAGAAATGTCATTGTTTTTCATTTTCTTAGTCCCATCACCATTATGTTCTTGAAAAAGCTAAGGATGATTGATTATAAGTTATATAACCTTCAATTCCGAAAAGGAGAANCACGTATTGCAGTTTGATGTTAAACCAGAGGAAGCTGATAAAGTCTCTCCTAACAGACAAACAATGCCTGAGACTGTGGCTGCTCAGAAGCCAAAGCCAGAATTGGTACACCCCATTGATCCACCTGCTGATATACCTGGAACTTCTGCATAGAGACAGACAACATAATTTACCAAAGAGAGAGAGATACCAGCAACACTCTTCAATACTTTATTTCTAACATAATTTTCTGGTTCTCAGAATTTATCCAAAATCACGCTTTAATTTGTCTTATTTCTAAACCAGGAGAGAGACTAGTTAAATAAAATATTAAACTCATAAAAAATTATAATTTTCAAAAGTTTTAGTCACCAATAAAAAGAATACTGCTAGCATTTTTCTTCTAAAAATCTAAAATGTATACTTCACTCCTCTTTGATGGTTTTATTACAATGTGAATTCCTCCTATGTTAACAAGGACAGTCCTGACATTTATGAGGCTAAGACTAAATTATAAAGACTTCATTATTTATAACCATTTTAAAATGTCAACATAAATTAGATACAAAAATTGGGTTATAATTTTATTATAAATTCAAAGAGATAATATTACATTTTTCTTTAAATTCATTTGAGATCCTTTATTACGGACTAAATATCATAATTTCATATTGCGTGCATTTTATTATTACTAATATATTTAGTAGTTTTAACTAATGTCTTAGCCTTTTATTGCAAAAAATAATTATAAATCATAATGCATAAGTATTTTAAACTTTAAATTAAATTATTAATCTTCATAATAAATACATATAAGTTATATTATATATTTAAGGTAAATGATTTAAATTGTGATATAAAGATATTTTAAATTTTTATCTAGAAGTAGTTTTTTCTATAGTTTGAGTTTTGGTTTGTTTCATCTCTTGTTGAAACAGTCTTTTAAGTGGCTTCATTATAACATGTTGATATGTTAAAATGAATTAGAAATAATTTTAAAGTGAATTTGTGAAAAAATGGTTCTAGGATGGCAAATAGACTCATATGCGTAGTATTCTTTGATATAGTATGAGTTTGGATATGGATAATATTCATTTCTTTTTCTAATTGGATCTTTTCCTAATTGATACAAGAACAGTGATGAATATGTACATATTTTATCAATAAATAAGCATTAAAGTTCTTATGATTAAATTTATTGACAATTTTATGATTAAATTTATTGATAAATCTATTGATAACTCAATATTTTGAAAATTCTTTAATAACTTAATTTTTTAAAATTTGTCAATAAATTCAACAATAAAATAGGCATCAAATTTCATATCAAATATGTTATACACTAATTGGATATGGATAAGNTTAGTCCTTTTGTTTTAGAAAGTCCACAAAAGTTGTTTTTAATTTAATTATTGAGAAAAGGATTTACCTTTAACAACTGGAAAAAGTATTGAAGTCCAGCTGCACTTTTTTGAGCAATAATGAAATTGAACAAAAAAGTTTCTTTTCTTAATGTTACATCACAAGACTGTTAGTTTTGATCACATCTTAAACTAGTAATTTATAGTAGTTTCTCTAAAAGATGATATATAAGGGATGTATAAATCATTATTGACAAATTTATTTTATTTGCTGTCAGACAATGATTTTGACTTTGTAATGGGAAAAATAGATGATTATCTCATATTTTAGGAAGGGGATTGCAAGCAATATGATTTATCTCAATTTCATTTCAATTATGTATTCTGCAGAAAAAAATGAAATAAGTGTGAATGTAAGAATTGAGCTTGATTATTGACAGATTTTGACTTTGATTAACATGTGATAAGAGTTTTGGTTAACCAGGTTTGGAGGACTGCAATCAACTATGCTACAAGGATCCTGTACTAAAAGACCAGCAATGGAGTGCCTATATTGATCGTTCTCCTGGAGCTGTCAGTTACTCAGAGGTATTTGGTGTGAGAATATATGTTTCCTTTACTTGTCATATTGATTGCAATTTGCAACTTCTTGTTTATTTTAAGTTATTCTTTAATGGTTTTCCTCTTGTAATTTTAACTTAATTTTAAATGTTTGGTCCTTACACCTTAAATGGAAGGTTTCTATATGTAGAAAAAAAAGTATTTTGTGATGAAAAGCCACAAGAGTAATGACTTGTGCAAACACAACTATTGAACTATTATTCCCAATGAGTGCAATGCAATTGATTATGCATGCTTCTTCAATTGTTTAAAGAGAACTAATAAACTAATTGTCCAGCTAGCATTAGTAATCCAGTACTCA